CCTTGTGAGTTCGAGGCCAGCCTGGTCTAGATAGTGAGTTCCAGGGGAGCTGGGGCTACAGGAAGACCCTGTCTCAAAAAGACAAAAAAAAATGCATTTGTACTGAATCTGTACAGTCTTTTCCCTTCTCATCCTCTACGCAATATAGTACAACTATCTACACAGCATGTGCATTGCATTAGCTATTATAAATAATCTAGAGGTAATTTAAAGTATATGGGAGGGAGCCAGGCATGGTGGTGTACACCTTTAATCCTAGTACTTACAAGGCAAAGGCAGGAGGATCTCTGTAATTTCAAAGCCAGCCTAATCTACCTATTGAGTTTCAGGCCAGTCAGGGAAGCAGAGTGAGACCATGTCTCAAAAATAAATAAATAAATAATAGAGTATATGGGAGATATACAGTTTACAGAAAATGTAAACTTTAGCTCTTGCTGGGTAGTCAATAGTTATCAGTGTATTTTCAATTATATATACACACAAACATACACACACACACACACACACACACACACTTGTTTCGTTTAGTTGAAACAGGGTCTCATGCAGCCCAGGTTGTCTCAAAATTGCTATGTAATCAAGGATGGCCTTGGTCTCCTGGCCTTCTGATCTTCTTGCTTCTATCTCTCTGTTGCTGGGATTACAGGCATGTGCCACCATGTCCAGGTAAAATTTGATATAATTTTAAATTGTGGGAACTGTATTTAATAGTCAGATATTTTGTGATTACACATTGTTTAGGGGCTGGAGAGATGGCTCAGCAGTTGAGTGCTCCCTGCACTTGCAGAGGACCTGAGTTTGGGTCCCAGCACCCACATCAGGCAACTCATAACTGCATGTAACTCCAAGGGGATCCGACAATATCTTCTGGTCTCTGAGGGCACCTGCACTCACATGCATATACCCACATACAGACACACATACACACTTTTAAAACATAACAACACATGGTGGCACACGCCTCTAATCCCAGCACTCAGGAGGCAGAGGCAAGTGGATTTCTGTGAGTTCCAGGTCAGCCTGGTCTACATAGTGAGTTCCAGGTCAGCAGGACTACATAGTCAGACCTTGTCTCAAAATAATAATAACAACAATAACAATGTAATAAAAATAAAGTCTGTTGGTGTGCAGAGAGACATTTACACCATGAAAGAGGTGGTTTTATAACTAAGATTTGGACTGCACAGTCTGATAGTCTGAATTTATAAACTGCCTCTCTGAGACTGAGGGAACATTCTTATTTATCTTTATAACGCTAGTACCTAAGACACTGTGTTTAATGCTTGTTAAGAAATAAGCCTGTGGGCGGTGAAGAAGGCCACACAGCTATGGTGTCCATCTGACACCTAAGTTTCCCTGATGTCTTCTTAAGGTCATATTGCAAGCATCGTAAGGACCATCTTCTATGCTTTGTGTTGAACATGCTGTTGAAAATCTGGATTCTAAAGAGGAAGAGAGAGCAAGTTTCCCTCCCAACACTGTGGAGGCAGGCTGTCAGCCCACAACTGCTGCAAAGCTTAAAGAAAACTGAACATGTGGGAGCCAGGCACTGCAAGAGAAGCCTAAATATACACACCTGAACAACGTGAGAGGAAGCGTGCTGAGATCAGAAGACTGTTGTGCATCATGCTTCTAAATAAAGCTGGCAGACTGGCCTCTTGGTAGCGTCTCATCCATCCCATATCAGTAGTCCAGGCACAGGGCCACAGCAAGCCTGAGATAAGCCATCTGTCATGTGCTCCTGTGACAATCCACAAGGAAAAACATCCCCTGGTAACCGAAGATATCCACACACCAGCAGCACACTCTTAAAATAGCACCAGACATGTCTTCAGCAGAACGTCTCCTCATTCATGCTGCACTTCTCACCCGGTATCCAGCCTTGATTGCGTCCCCAGGGGCAGAAGTGTCTCAGCTAAGGCCTTGCTATGCTAACTCCAGCCCATGCCTAAGTCAAAAAAATTTTTTTAATTTTATACGTGTTTTGCTTATATGTATTGAAGTGCACCTGTGTGTACAATGCACACAGAGGCCAGAAGAGGGCATTGAATCCCCAGGAGCTGGAGTTATGGATGACTGTTAGCCACAATGTGGTGCCAGGAACCAAACCCAGATCCCCTGCAAGAGCAGCAAGTGCTCTTAACTACTGAGTCATCTCTGCAGCCCCCAGAATTCTTTTGGGTTTTTTTTAAAGATTTTTTTATTAAGATGTGACTTTTCTCTTCAAAATCAGTAGGTGTCTTTTATTGTATCATTAAATATCATACATTGATCTCACAGTCCAGAATCTTGTTTCTGGACCTGGATGGCTCCAGGCTTGGGCATCAGCTTGTAAGCTGTTCCTTTTTCAGAGACAAAGGTTCCAGCCCAGGATTTCTGATATCCTTTTTTTGTTTCGTTTTGGGGTTTTTTTGTTGTTATTTTTTGAGACAAGGTCTCCCTATAGCTAGCCAGGAACTGGCTACATAGTCTAGACTGGACTGATCTCAGAGATCCAACTGCCTTTGCCTCCCAAGTGCTGGGATTAAAGGTGTACAACCACACCCAGCAGAATTCTTAATTTAGTATAGGCAAAGGCAGATCTAACCACAGTATTGCCCCTTCTAGAGGGCACAATGCTGGGGCAAAGGGTAACCCTCCAGGGCTGGGGACCTCAATATGTAATGGTCCTTAGGTTTGTGCCACTCTGAGTACATTGCTTACATGTGTCTAAGTACACCCATGTCATGCAATGCCTGCAGAGGCCAGGTGTTGGACTCCCTGGAACTGGAGTTACAGATGGTTAACTGCTATGTAGGTGCTGGGAATCAAACCTGGGTCCTCTGCAAGAGCAGTCAGTGCTCATAACTGCTGAGCCATCTCTCCAGCCCCTTATTTTTAATTTTTATGTATACGAGTGTTTTGTCTGCATGTAAGTGAACCACACGCATACAGTGCCCAAGGAGGTTATAAGAGGGTATCACGTCCCTTGGAACTGGAAGTGTGGATGAGTGCTAGCTGCCAGGTGGATGCTGGGAACAGAACCCAGGTCCTCTGCAAGAGCAGTGCATGTTCTTAACTGCTGAGTCCTCTCTCTAGACCCTGAGCTCTTTCTTATACAGTCTAGGCCCACCTGCCTAGGGATGACATTGCCCATAGTGGGCTTGGCCTTCTTAATTACCAATTAATGCCTCACAGAATGTCGATAGGCCACTCTGATAGAGAAAATTCCCCAACTGAGGTTCCCTCCTCCCAGCTGACTCTAGTTTGCGTCGTTAACAAAAACAGCACAGTATATTTTCTAGCTCTATTTTCCTATAAATTTCATTACAGCTGAATAAGATTCCATTGTATACATGTACACATTTTCATTACCCATTCATCAATTACTGGACTAACATTTAAAAAAAATTTTTTTTTACTATTTTTATGTGTATGCATATATTACCTGCATGTAGGTAAGTGCACCCATGTCATGCAATGCCCGAGAACAGAAGATGCTGTCAGACCCCCTGGAACTGGAGTTACAGACAATTGTTAGCTGCCATGTGGGTGCTGGGATTTGAACCCAGGTCTTCTGCAAGAACAGCCAGTGTTCTTAACCCCTGAGCCATCTCTCCAGCCCCTACATTGAACACTTTTAAAAAATATTTTTTTGAGAATTTCATAGAATGTAATTTTACCTTGAAAATGTTTTTATTTGTATTTTATGAGTGTTTTGCATCCATGTGTCTAAGTGCACCTATGCATACAGTGCCCATAGAGACCAGAAGAGGGGGATAGATCCCCCTGGAACTGGAGTTAAGGACAGTTGTTGGCCACCAAGTGGGTGCTGGAAACCAAACCTGGGTCCAAGAGCAGCCAGTGTCGATAACTGCTGAGCCATCATTCCAACCCTGACTCTCCTCTCCCAGCAGCTGTCAATTGCTAATAGCTCCAGAATCCATGCTGGGATTTTGTCTGGCTTGTTTTCACAGGTCTTATGCATGCTGTCACAACCACTGTGAGTTCACATGTGAATATGCCCCACTGTGCCCCGAAAACAGTTTGCTGTAGTCATCCTCCACCTCTGGTTCTTACAATCTTCTCACTGGCTCTTCTCCATGACCTCAGCTTTGGGGGGAGGAGTATAATATAGATGTCCCATTCAGGGCTGAGCACTCTGCAGTCTCTTACTTTCTGCTGCGCTAGAGACTGAACACAGGGCCTCATGCATGCCAAACAAACACTCTATCAACTGAGCTACAGTCCATCTTTATTTATTTATTTATTTATTTATTTATTTATTTATTTATTTATTTATTTATTTATTTATTACTTGTTTATCTTTTAGAGACAGGTCTCCCAGTAGTGGGGCTGGCCTGGAATTCCCTATGTAGACCAGGCTGATTTCTATCTCAGAGACCCACCTGCCTCTGCCTCCTAAGTGCTGGGATCAAAGGAAAGGCTTGTGCCACCACACACAGCTTAAGGTGTGTGTGTGTGTGTGTGTGTGTTTGTATGAGAGAGAGAGAGAGGGAGAGGGAGAGAGAGAGAGAGAGAGAGAGAGAGAGAGAGAGAGAGAGAGAGAGAGAGTCTCCCTGTAGCCCCAACTGGCCTGGAACTTGCTATGTAGATCAGGCTAGCCTCAAACTCAGAGATCTGCCTGCCTGTGCCTCCTGAGTGCTAGGATTAAAGGTATATACCACCACGCCCGGGCAGGCATATTTTTTCATAAACTAAACCTTTGGAGGTAGGCAAGTGACCTACCTGATCAGGAAGAAGGGCAAACCCTTGGAGAAGGAAGTGAGTAGAAAGAAAACAAGGTGCAGCAGCTCTCAGCTGACCTGAGCCTGTGTCTACATGACAGTTGTCATGTTTGAATAACAGAGCTACTGAAGGACTCCTAGCGGCCAGCCACACAGAAAACCAACAGGTTACAGAAGATGCTTTTTCATATGAAAACTGTATGTACGCACAAAAATGTAAAGCATAACCAGAAACCATTATTGTCTCACCTAATAACACAAGAGTCGACTCTGTTAGGAAAAAGCATGTTTATTTGGTTCTAGTCACAGTTCCATCATGTCTACTTTCTTTGTAAGTTCAGCTTCAATGGCATCCTAGAGGAAGGAGAAAAAGCCAGAAACAAAGTCTAAAATAGATTCTATGAACATCCAATGATATTTAAAATGAGATAAACAAAAAAGAAAGCATTGAAACAGAAGTTTTATTTTATTTATTCTTTGTGTATATGGTCCTGGGTACCAAACTGAGGAAACTATGTATGCTAGTAAAGCCCTCTACTACTGAGCTGCATTCCCAGCTCTGTGTGTGTGTGTGTGTGTGTGTGTGTGTGTGTGTG